CGGAGGAGGGGGGCGCGGAGGAGGGGGGGCGCGTCGCAGGGAGCACGGCCACCCTGGGCGGCCGTTGCGTGGGCGAAAGGAGATTCTGAAAACCAGGCAGGCGAGGCGAGGACCTGGCCACAAGCGGCCATGGGGTCGGCCATCCCTGCGGGGTGCGTGGCAGAAAGCTGAGGTGGGAGCCACAGGCGGCGCCTGGAAAAAACCTGGAGAAGGCCGGCGAACCACCCTGCTGGGGCAGGGGATGCACTGGCTCACATAAACACACATACATACATACGTACGTACATACCTACCTACCTACCTACCTACCTCCTACCTACATACATACATACATACATACATGTCTTACCTTACCTTACCTTACCTTACCTTACCTTACACTGCAATAATTTGCATCACATTCCCTTCCATTCCATTGCATTACATTACAGTACATTACATTACAATACATTCCACTACATTGCATTACATTACATGACATTACAGTACATTACATGACATTACATTACATTACCTTACATCAAATTACATTACATTACATTACAGTACCTTACATTACAGTACAGTACAGTACATTACATTACATTACATTACATTACACTACATTACACTAAATTACATTACATTACATTAAATTACATTACAATACATTACATTACATCACATCACATCACATCACATCACATCACATTACATTACACTACATTACATTACATTACATTATATTACATTGCATTGCATTGCATTGCAGCGCAGTGCATTGCATTGCAGTACATTACATTACATTACATTACATTACATTACATTACATTACATTACATTACATCGCATCGCATCACATTACGTTACATTCCATTGCATTGTATTGCATTGCATTGCGTTGCGTTGCGTTGCGCTGCATTGCATCACAAAACATTACACTACATTACATTACATTACATTACATTACATTACACTACACTACATTACATTACATTACATTACATTACATTACATTACATTACACTACATTACACTACACTACACTACACTACATTACACTGCATTACATTACGTTACACTATATTACATTACATTACATTACATTACTTTACATTACATTACATTACATTACATTACATTACATGACGTTACATTACATTACATTACACACATACATTCATGCATGCATACATACATACACACACGCATACACACATGTTGTTGTGGCCTCTGGGGCCTTCACCAAACAGGGATGGTCTCGCACAGAGCCAATCTTATGCTACATGCACGATATCCCAAAACCTGAAAGCCACGCTGCCCGTCGGGACCGTTACCCGGGCCTCTGGAAATACCACTCGATTGGCACTCTCGGATCAAACGAAACATCGAAGCACAGAACCTGCAATTGCGCAGACCGCTGCGATCTGCGTTACAGCCGATAGAACTTCATTCATTATGTTGCCACTAACGAGGACCACTGCGATCGCATGTTCGCTTCCCCACTCAGGGATGCCACACCCCAGCCTGAACTCGATCGGATCCGCAGCGGGCATGGGTGTGAGGAGGGGGCGATAGCAAGCGATGCAGCCCCTCGGTGAAGGCGGATCGCCCGGGTCTCAACACTGCGTATCACGGCACCGCTGCTATCCATCACCTCCTGCTTTTTGTCACGAGGTCTCTCCACCCACTCATCGAAAACTACAACTTGGCTGGTGAAGGGGACCACCCGCGGCCTCGGGATACCGCTGGGACAGTCCTCCTCCTCCTCCTCTCCCTCCTGCTCCGCCTCTTCACCCTCGTCTTTCACCCATCCTCCTTCACCCATCCTCCTGAGAAACACGCCCTCGTCGTCACACCACCAATGGGTGTCGGTGGGGCGGCCTGGGCGGTTCGCCCGAGGCTGAAAAAACTTATCATGCCGAGGCGTCTGCTGCCAGAATGCAGCTCTCGTCTCAGCGTCGTGAACACTCCCCCTCCCCCTCCCCCTCCCCCTCCTCATCCCCCTCCCCCTCCTCCTCCTCCTCCTCATCCTCCTCCTCCTCCTCCTCGTCTTTAGAACCAAGAGCTACATGGATGCAGGTCATGTCGTTGCTTCATGCGGCCCTCACACTGGCGCAACGCACACTCGTCGTAACACTCCCGGGCAGTCACACAAGGATGGACGGCGGTTCCTTTCCAAACTGCTGCAACCATCACGGCCCGAAGTGTACCAATGCGCGACGGCTGCAAGAACTGATGGCGGCTCCGTTCCAAAACGAGGCTGCCTCCATCTCTCTCTCTCTCTCTCTCTCTCGAAACGTCCAACCAACTGCGGCCCGAAAATTGCAACTGCGCGACAACTGCAAGGACTGCGCGCGCAGCCGCTGCACGAACGAACGGCGGCTGCTCTTGAGGATCGGGCTTCCGCGGTACGCGCCATTCCGCTTGCTGGCCCTGCTGCACTGCCCTCCTGGCAGCCGCTCTCATCCTCTTCTTCCTCCCTCCTCCTCCTCCTCCTCCTCCTCCTCCTCCTCCTCCT